TGTCTCTGTATATTATAACTCGCCTTATCATAAGTCTGCTCACATGTGCATTTAGTTGGAACATAGGAACTCATTAAAGCAGTGGTGTCAAACTTGCAGTGCCATGTGACATAGCTCAACTTTTTCACCCTTTGCTAAACCGGGTGTGGGCATGGTCAGTACGTGATGCATCTGGCCAGAGAGTATGACAGCCCTGTGTTAGAGGGTCCTTCCTAGACTTATCTGTATATACAGATAGTCCTTGACTTACAACCATAATTGAGTCCAAAACCTGTTGCTAACCTATTTTGTTAACTGAGTTTTATGACTTTTCTTGCCACTGTTGTTAAGTGAATCACTGCAGTTCTTAAAGTTAGTAATATGGTTATTAAGTGAATTTGGCTTCCCCATTGACTTTGCCTGTCAGAAGGTTGCAAAAGTTGATCACACTGCAACCATTATGAATATGAACAGTTGTCAAGCATCTGAATTCTGATCACCGGACCATGGGGATGCTGCACATCGTTAAGTGTGAAAAATGGTCATGAATCACTTTTTTCACTGCCGTTGTAACTTCGAACGGTCACTAAATAAAGTGTTGCAAGTTGAGGGCTACCTGTATCAGCCAGAGAAATGGGATTTTTGTACAAAGCAAAGCAGAGACTCACCCCTGTTCTCCCCCCTACCCACACAAGCAATGAGCCCCTCCCCAGGGGAGAAAACGGCTTCTTCCTCTTCTCCTCCCCATTTCTCTTCATTATCTGAAAATATCATTGACGTGGATCACCTCGATTATCTTGATGAAGCGCGGGAAGACAGGGTTCCTGGAGATGGGGATAAGGGGCACGTGGGGGACGTGCTCAGGGACCATGAGAGGGGCCAGAGCTGTCACTACAGTTGGCCCGCCAGAGTCTGAGCCCGAGCTGTCGCCGGAGCCAGGAAGGCCTCCGTCGCCCTCAGAGCCCTCCAGGCTGTCTTCGCCGTTGTTGCTGCTGCTGCTGCTGCTGCTGCTGCTGGAAGAACGTCCGCCCAAGAGAAAAAGCCGCTGCTGCTCCTCTGGTTGCGGCGCTCCCGAAGGCGCCCGGGCCACCCAACGTCCCGCCACGGAAGGCGCAGAAGGGAAAGGCCGCCTCAGCCCCGGCGAGGAGTAAACGCGACCCCGACATCGCCAAGTCCGACCGGAGAGTCGCAAAAAGAGCAGCGAGCGTGCCGCTCCAGCCGCCATCCTGCTGCTGCGCACCGATGACGCCATCATCATGGGACCGTCCTGTCTCCTGCACCAGCGAGGTTTCTTTTGCACATGGCAGGACGGGCGGAAACAGTAGTCTTTGTGACCCTCCTCTTCCGGTAAGGAATTTTCCTTCATTCATTTTTAATCCTGGATTCTGCGTCGTCTTGTGTTTATACGTGGTTAATGTTTACCTGTGTATGGCTTTCATGTTTATTTTCCTTAATAACTCGCTACTAAAGTTACACATTTGTATTCATGACTCAAAGCGGATTTACTTAATAAGTAACATATTTAGCGTATATTAATAACGAGTCAGTGATCGATGTGTAATTTTTGCCAATTTATTTCAAAATATTCAAAAAGTATTTTCAAAATATTCAGATATGTACTTAAATCGCTATTATAGTACTTATGATGATGATGGTTCGTCCAGATGTTCAGACTAGATTTGGCGTTTTGTTCGCCTATGGAGTGGTTCACAAGGATTCCCAAGATGTTTGATGAACGTTAACAGATATTGTCGCAGGATGTAAATTGTTCCGAGTAAAGCCGCCTTTTGCAACTATTATGATTACTATTACTACTACTACTACTATTATTTATATTTATTTGCCGATTCTAGGCAATGATAAGATTTATTATTTGGGTATGTCTAGTTTAATGAAAAGAAGGAAGGACTAGGGGTGACATGATAGCAGTGTTCCAATATCTAAGGGGCTGCCACAAAGAGGGGGATGAACCTATTCTTGAAAGCACCTGAAGGCAGAACAAGACACGATGGATGGAAATTAATCAAGGAGAGAAGCAACCTAGAACTAAGGAGAAATTTCTTGACACATCAATTAATCAGTGGAACAGCATGCCTCGAGTTGTGTATGCTCCAAAACTGGAAGCTTTTAAGAGTTTGGACAACCATTTGTCTGAAATGGTAGGGTTTCCTGCTTAAGCAGGGGTTTACATGTCTGAAGTATAGTGCCAAACCATTTCCACATCATCATGCCAAGAAACTGCAATGTTTTTTTTTAAAAAAGGAGTTGTTTAACTGGAAGGTGACATTTTTTTTTGTTAATCTACTCCAAGTGAACAAGAAGCAAAAGCAGAGGAAACAGATCATTTTGGTAGGAAAGGACTAAAAACAGGCAAGAAGACTAGTAAGAAAATAGCAAACTTCCATGCTGCAAGAGAATTCATAGGCGTGAGGGGGAAAAATAAGTGTTATCAGATGTCCAAGTCAATTTGGGGTGAAGGAAAGGAACTGATTGAAGAACATTTTTACTCAGAATCACCAATTAATTGCTCAGCTTCTGCTACTGGTGGTGGTTAGCAAACTTCTGGTTCCCTATAGCTGCCACTACTCTGGGAAAGGATAGCAGTCATGAACTACAAGACTACAACTACAATCTTGTTTTGCTGTCCTTGCCGTGTTGCCTCATTTTTCTTGAGTGAGGAACAATTGCCTCTACTTGCTTTTATCAGCTGGAGCAACAGGTTATAAGAGGTAGCACATCAGTATTGTTAACATTTCTCGTGCCCATTGTCCCAGAAGTGGAATGCTGTCATCTATCAATAAACCTAGGAGCCATTGTGCCAAGCATCATATGGTCAGTGTGGATTTTGCCTTAAAGCCTGGGAGCTAGCTAAATGTGATCTAGCCCTCACAATGAATAAGGAAGTAGTTGCTTGGAATACTGTCCCACCTGTACCAGAGGACCACAAAGTATCTCCTAAATAATACATTTTTATTTATTTTATTTAAAACATTTATATAGCTCCCCATCTTCTAACCAACTCTGGGAAGCTCTTAAAGTGTTTAAACAGCATATAAAACCATATTAAAACTTCAAACACATTGAAACATTAAAAACAAAAGAAATTCTGATCTTCGAATGTATAGTTTTTCAATCTGATCCCAACATTTGGGAGGAAAACCAGGTCTTTAAAACTTTACAGGAGTTTAAGATAGAAGCCTTGCCAAACTTCAAGGGACACAGTGTTTCACAGGGCAGACTGCCATGGAAAAGCGTGCTTTGTAACTCCCATCAGACGGCAAGACTTCGGGGAAGGGGCTAGGAGTGTGCCCACTCATACAAGAATCACAGGACACATTTTTTAATAATACTGTATCCCAGGACAAAGGTTTATAATTCACAATTCAACTACTTGTTTTCCAAGCCATTCTGCAGCCCACAATACTTGGTAAGAATAGGATGGAGGAACTGGCCAGCCAGGGGAAGCATTCCAGAGAGCCAGCCCAGCAACTTGATTCATCATCCCAACAAAATGGATGGCAACAGGTAGCTTCCTTTCAGCATCATGTGTCAAATAGCACTAGTCTCAGAAAATCCTCTCCCACTATTGTGCTTCGTGGCAGACAGTGTTTCTAAAGCCCCAAGCTACCAGCAACACTTGGCCAGAGATGATGGGGGTGGGAGACTAGGGTAGAAGCTGTCTAGGAGAGGGAAGAAGGGCAAGGGAAGAGATGGATCTGGCTACTCCACTTCAAAGGCAAGGACTGAGCAACAATTAAGCATGCAACAAGCAAACCTCTAGAAGAGGGAAAGAAGGGTGTGTTGTCATGCAATGCAAAAGGAAAATAACCAGGAAGTGTAAAGGAAAGTTCTCTCTGCCTAGCAAAGAAAAAACTCTTGAGAGTGTTGGATTTGCTAATGTCTTGGATTTGATCGTAAAAAGACTTTTCCTATCAACACCTGTAATAAACCCAAATAATGTTCTGATTAATAAAAACATTTTCCCAGATAAGTTGCCAAAATGAAATAGCTGTTTCTTAGGTAAGCTTTGCAAATACCTGTTTGCAGTAAATCGAATATTGATGGTGTACCATGATACATTCCACAGTCTTTTTCACACATTATTTTTGAATCGATACATGGAAAGGCATGAGTGTGGTGGCTCTGGAGAGTACTGGTCCTTATGGAGATCAGTCAGTCATCCAGGTCCCGAGATTTACATAAGAGACAACGGAACTGTATCTTCAGTGGCTTTCAAAGGATGTGAGACAACTGGGAGAGCAGAGATGTATCAAAAGCCAAGAGTCACAATTCAAGACTATGTGCCCTGATGCTATGAGCAACTAGAGGACAGGCTGCCTTGCTTATTTGTCTCTGATAATAGTTACCAATGTATTAAAAAAAAACACCAAGATACTGAGCTCTATGCATCTTGGCTTGATAAAGCTACTGTGTTCTGAACAATTAACCAATAAGCAAACAAAAGCAAATAAGCATTGCCATTATGATATTATAGTTCAAGCAGTCCTCATTCAGTGACCACAACTGGGACTAGCAACTCAGTTGTTAAGCAAAATGGTTGCTAAATGAAACTAACTGTACTTATGACCTTTACTTCAGTTTTCTTTTGTGCTTACAATCTTTACTTCAGCTTGACAAAGGTCAAGAACCCCTACAAAGGTCATAAATGTGAGGGTCACAAAGTTAGTCTTTCATCACCACTGTAACTGCAAAGAGTCGCTAAACAAGGACTACATGTTCAATTGTAATGAAGCAGCAGCATGTTGTACATATCATTTTTTTAAAAAACACAGGCTGTACATAATTCTCCACTTTAATGATCCTCATAAATAAACATTTTCCAGACCAATAAAGCATCATTTTCCCATGTCATTATAGTTGTGCTTTTAAAGTTGTAGCACAACTATAATGACGTGGGAAAATACCTAAACAAAGCTGAATACCATACATGTAAGTACCCGCGAAAACTTAAGAATATATATATATATATAAAATTTGGCTGCATTTTTTTCAAGTGCTAAAAAAAAATTCAAAAATGAGCACAATCGGTAAAATTGTAGCACAAAAATTTAAATTAGTTGGTCTTTATGGCACAGCACAATATGTTCAAAGTTCATCTTCTTGGCAAGGAAATGTGGAGTTGGCTTGGTGCAGGATACTAACCAGCTGTGGTTAAGAGGCAGGATAGGTGAGGTCAAACTCTTACTGTCAAATCATCATTGTAGGACCACAATCACTGTTATAGAAAAAAAATTCATTTTTTTTCTGGTGAAATGAACAGGGAAAACGAATGAACTGAGTTTGTGGGAGGACTGTGGCTGGCTCTTGCTTCTCTAGTTGTGACATTTTACAGATCCCATCCCGACAGCACTCCGCTCCTCCAAGTCACATTGCTGTCTCACTGTTGAGGTGCTTGTGGGTGTCATTCTCTTGATATATTAGATGGTATGGTTTTTCATTCTCTTCAAGGACTGAGTTGCTGAGCTCAGCATCCTGCATCTCCAGCTCATGGCGAGACAGATGCTCTACAACACCAGCACCCAGTGAATCCCCCAGCACATTGACGGTAGTTCTGAGACGGTCTCTGGAAGCAGAAGAAAAAGGAATTGTCAAGTCGAAAATTGCTTGGGAGAAGGCTGCAGTTTTCAATGCCAGCAGAAGTTGGCATTGAAGTTTCACATGGATATTGCTGGCAAATTATTTTATTATTTAGAAAATTTATATTACCGCCTACTGGCACATGGTGACTCAAGACTGCTTATAAGGCTACAAAAACAACATATAAAAGAAATAAAAATAAAAACAAAAATAATAACCCACTCGGATGATGACAACACACATTTATACTAGCCATTTAATGGGCTCCATCCTGCTCAGGGTTCCCCAAGGCCACTGACAGAACCACATCTTCAGAGCCTTCCAAAAGAGTATTAGAATGGGGGCCAGTTTAATCTCTGGGGGTGGGGGTGATGATGTTCTAGAGAGGGAGCCACCACAGAGAAGGCCCTTCTTCTGGGTCCGAATGGGACCCACAACATTCCTTGCTTCCCTGCTCTAGCGGGTCGGGTAGATATGACCGGCAAATATAAAAACAGTTCTGCTAAGTTTAGAACAGGAAATGGAACTAAGTCTGCCCTCTGGTTTCCTCCAATGACTCCATCTTTATTTCTATGTACTCGATTGCCCTTTGAATTAACAGCCACATCCCATCTTCTTTAAATCTATCTTACTTTTTTACCACAGGTACTCAAAAATGTTACAGGGGATTCTCTTGCAGTGACTGTCTAACGACAGCTGAAGTAATACTATAAGTAGGGTTGCAGTTTCACATATTGACTGCTTGGGTTAACAGCCTAGGTGCCGGTTTCAACTGCAATTGCTAAATGGGGACTACCTTATACAGTCCTTTCTACAAAGGTGTTCCATCCCTGAATGTGGGTAATCTCATTTTTCAATGGCAGTTGGGCAGGAGAAATTCTGCCATCTCCATTACAATGACATGGAGATGGGGAGGAAAAAAAGAGGTCTATTTGTGGGCTATATCTATTTAAAGTAGATTTAAATACAAGTATAACCCTTAGCCCCATCCATTTCTCCCTCGCAGGGACTTACAGGAACCAGTCCACAGCCATAATCAAAGTGAGGTCCTCCGTTGGCAATCCGACAGACGTCAACACGATTACCATAGTCACTAGGCCCGCCTGCGGAATGCCAGCAGCTCCGATACTGGCTGCTGTGGCAGTAATGCTGTGGTGAAAAGATGCACTGGTTAGATTGGAGGAGCATTAGTAAGTTGGTGCCTCGCTATAGGACTCCTCGAAAATCTAGCCTCATAGATTATTTTTCATCTCCAAATTGGTGTTCCCCAGGTGGTTCTGGATTATGACTCTCACAGGCCAAAGCACCATGGAAATTATAATCTAGAACACCACCGATAGGGCATCAGTTTGGAGAAGTCTGCATTAAAACCTGCAGTTTGAAAGCTGAGAAATAATTCTGCAGAATTATTTAGGTGGGGCAACAAATCAAAAAATTCTTTGCTGATGTAAAATGCAGCAAGCTTTAAAAACTGAATTTTGAAATAATAGATGTAAGGAAGCAAAACAAATGCAGAAGGACACTATCCACATATCCAAAATCTCATATGGCAAATATGTACTAAACCAAGGGTCCTCAACGGTCGGATTGTGGCCCGTTGGGAACCAGGCTGCGCAAGTGATGGGCAAGTGCACAAAGCTGCATTTGTGGCACGTTCAAAACCACCTCCCCGCTGCCGCTGCCGCCACTCCATGGAGCTGGAAAACTTGGGGACCTCTGTGCTAAACGGCACAGTACTCCTGGCAATGCAAACCAGCACAAGTAGTATCAAATCCCCATAGATCCCTATCAGGACACGGCCATTCTTGCAGGGAGGGCCTGGCTGCCAATTTACAACTTTTCCTTGTCTCTGATCTTTCCTTTGATGTACCTTCCTGGGAAGGGAAGGGGGAAGGGAGTAGCCTGGGGCCGTCTTTTTTTTCTGTCTCAGTGAGATTTCAAACAGCTGCTTATCACCTTATCAGCTAGAGGTTCTCGTAACAACTTCGCACCTGTGGATTGGCTTGCTTTTGGACTGGATAAAGGGGTTTCTGCAACTTTTAACGGTTTTGAGCGCAAATTTCAGATCCTGCCTTGCTTTCCTTGTTACCACTATCTCCCAGTAAAAGTTCCTTTTGAAATGATTCCAGTTTCAAGTGTTCTGCTTTCTTGAGGGGACGGGAGAAGGCGAGTCCTTACAGGTAGTTTATCACCTACGCGTGCCTGTACCCACCTAATAGTAATGATCTGACCGAAGTCAAGCTCGTAGTTGTTGACCTGTGCAATGAAGATGGCTGCCAGAGCTTCATAAAGTGCAGTGCCATCCATGTTGATAGTTGCTCCCACCGGCAGAACAAACCTGGTAACTCGTTTATCCACCCTGTTGTTTTCTTCCAGGCAACGGAATGTGACAGGGAGAGTAGCTGAGCTGGAAGCAAAACATCTCGTAATTTGCGAACAAGGCCAAAAGGGACCCAAGATGGCTCCTCTCAGCCTAATTCGAACACAAAGCTTAAAAAATGACGCAAAGCCTTTGGTTTGGTATGTGAACACCTGCTCCAACATTGGATTTGCCTGCTTTTTGTGATCTCTCTGAGAGACTCTGCTCAAGTGAATGCAAGCTGGGCCTGATATAAGAGAACATTTGTCGTTCAGAGTTGAAGTGTGGCGGCCCTTTGTGCTCTCTGAACTTGTTTGTTTTCTTGCCAACTCGGCTTCCTTCTAGCACTGATGATGTTACCTAGATGGGTACTGAAATGTCTGCAAGAAAACAACCAAATTCCAAGAATACCAAGGACCCCTCAATCTGGCCTTTTTGAAGTTGGCACCCAACACTAACCTGGTGCTCACTAGGGCCTTCCCCGCTTGCAGCTAACTATAGTATAAACATATTGTGTCAGCCTCATCCCTATGAACACTGCCTTCAAATTTATTCCTAGCCCATGAGTGAAACAGGCATGAGCCGAACTGGGTGTCAACTAGTCTTTTCCCCTTCTTCCAACATTGTCCAAGAATGGCTTTAAGATATTTAAAATGTTTTATATGATCATCCATTTCCTTGGAGGGACTTCAGAAAACTGTCAAGGATTGCAAGGAGAGCCAAAATAGCAAGCAAATTTCACATCTGCACATATATATTTTGCTGATTCATAGAAGAATGGATAATATTTCATTTTTGCAACAAAGACAGGCCCTTAGACCAGTTTTTCTCAATCCTGGCAACTTTAAGCTGTGTGGACTTCCTGCTGGCTGGGGAATCCTAGAAGTTGAAGTCCACACAACCAAAAGTTGCCAAATTTGAGAAACACTGTCCTAGATTGACCATTTGAGTCCAGATCAGAACCATATAAATCTCTAAATGTTTTTGATGGATAGTAGATTTTAACCTTACTACTTTTCTACTTTTAATGACATGTTTCACTATTTTATGTTGCATTTTTAATCTTTTCATATTTATGACTGAATGTGAATTACCAGATTTTGCTAGTGTGCCTGTGTGTATTTTAATCAATGATAACTAGTATGGAAATTTTTCTGTGATGCAGAAGCCATTTTAAAATTACAAAAAAAAAAAAAAAACCAGAAAAGTTCTTAACCTGAATGAAGAATCTTTTATGTCCTTTTAGGAGCTAGTTCATAATCCTATATCCTCTTATACAAGCAGGAATGCAATTTGCCTGGGATGAAATTTGAGCAGAGTTGCTAAGCATTTTCAATAATATTATATTATATTATATAATATTATAATATAATATTATGTTCATTATTTCCATTTATATGGCTGTCTCTCAAATGACTCTGTGGAGCATACAAGATTAAAAGCAATTTAACAAAGCAACAATAATTTTGAGTTGTGTGGATGTCTTTATTTCATTCCTGTTTTTTGTCATTCTTTTATTCTGCTGTTCTTCTATTTTTATTACTGTATTTTTTTCCAGGTGTCAAATGTTTTTACTTGTGAATTACTCATCAGAGTCATTGGAGATTGGGCAGTATACAAATTTAAATAATAGCAACAATAAGATCATAAACATAAACCCAACTGATAAAAAACCAACATTAACAATTAATTCCTTTAATTAATTGAGATTGCTGGAGTAAATTAAGGCTTACCAGTTACTTCCAAGGAAAGAAAAGCTTTTTTTCTCTCCATACTTCCAAGCCAAAATCCTTAACTCCTGCTTCTCCCCATCTTGTTAAGAGCTGCTTCGTCCAACTGTGAACAACAAAAGGGCCTGGCAACTAATCCGACACACAACACACATACACTACTTGTGACTTAAGATCCCCAATCTGTTGGCTTGGCTGGGAGCTACATTTTCCAACAGCAAGTTCCAAAAAGCAAGTTGGAAACAACACACACACACACACACACACACACAGTCTCCTGGGAGTGGTACCCAGATGGCTTGCCTGCCTGTCCCATTCCTTTGCGAGAGACCATCACCTGGAAGATGTTCCCAAGGCTGTAACGAGGGCTTGTAGGAGGCCAGCCATGAAGATCCAGGGGTTTTTCCGTGTGACAATGAAGTAGATGAGTGGAAGGACACAGAGGCCGTGGATCAGGAGCCCCACAATAACTGTAAGCGTATACAGGCCTAACTGGCCTCCCATCACTGCCAGGTCCTCCATCTCCAAAATCTTACCAGCGATGAGAAAGAGGATCCCAATAGGGGCGTACCTGTTACGAAACATGTCAGAATAGTGCTCAACTCCCAACTCAGCTCTGAGCCAACATGGAGAACAGACAATGCTTTGTGCTTTCAGGAAAGACTGTCGATAGTTTACTAGCTTTTCATGCTGAAGGATCTCCAAGCTCTCCCAAAGGCACTTTTTCCAAAAGGCAACTGGACTTTTGTTTTTTTCTTTGAAAACGTTGGCGGACAAATCTAAATCAAGCTTCTAAGGTCCACTACCAGTCGGAACCAATTGTAATCTCCTGGTTGATCAGCAAATGCTGATTTAGTTAAGGCAGGGGCCTGCAATCTTAAACACTCAAAGAGCCATTTGGAGCCATTTCCCACAGAAAACACTGGGTGCCAATAATTTAAGAACCAGTGGGTGGGCGTGGACGTCACTCACTCCCACCCAGTCACCTCCTGCTCTGGAATATGGAGCGAGTCTCCATCCCCTGCCATCACCCTTATCTTCTCAGGCCAGGTGAGGAGTGACAGGGAGGGGAGGGGAGGGGCCAGCCAGTGGTGGGATCAACTAACAGGGACCAGCAGCAGAGGGCCAAAAGAGCTGCATGTGGCTCCAGAGCTGCAGGTTGTAGACCCCCTGAGTTAAGGCAATTTAAATGCTTAAATTGAAATTCCTGCCAGTAAAAACAGTTTCAGATTTGCTGAATTCCAAAGTTGTCATGCAACCTTATTGGTCATCAAGCAATTCTGCTAAAACAGATAAATTTACAGTAATTAGCACACTTTAAGAAGAAGAAAAAAAATTAGTCATTGTCACCCAGGTTTCCCAGACTGGTGCCCTTCAGATGTAATGATTATACAATTCCAACAGGGCTTGGTCAACTAAGCTATGAGGTAGAGATCCCAACCCAGTGCTACCCATCCTCTTTTTAATCCTCATTAGTTTTAATGGTTTTCATATTTAAAATCCTTTGGTGAGCCACCCAACAGTGAGATGGGAAGCATTTACATTTAATAAATGAAACAAACTAACGGACTAGTCCAGAGGTCTCCAAACTTGGCAACTTTAAGACTTGTGGACTTCAACTCCCAGAATTCTGGGAGTCCACAAGTCTTAAAGTTGCCAAGTTTGGGGACCCCTCGATTAGTCTAATGGCTAAAAATCCCGAGTTGTAATCCCAAGACAACTGGAAGACACCAGGCTGGGGAAGGTGTCCTTCATTATTTATGGAGAATTCAGTTGTTCCTATGCATCAAACTGAGGTTATCAAACTGCCTTTGATACTTTAAGGCAAGGGTCTTCAAATTTGGCAAGTTTTAAGACTTGTGGACTTCAACTCCCAGAATTCCTGAGCTAACATGACAGGAGGAGGAATTCTGGGAGTTGAAGTCCACAAGTCTTAAAGCTGTCAAGTTTGAAGACCTCCACTTTAAGGGGAAGCTCCTAAGTAAGCCATGAAGGTAATAGCGCTCTTTCATTTGTCTTTCCGCCAACTGTATTCTGTGAAAAGCTCCCTTCTACCTTTATTTACCAACTGCCAGAGACAAATCTATGAAGACACCTCCTGCATATATAATTGCATTTACTGCAGCTTTAGAATCTACCTAGATAACTCTCGTTAGTGGTAGGATTAAAATTGGAATAAGTACAGGTGGTCCTCGACTTAGTTTGCTTAGTGACCCAAGTTACAACGGCACTGGAAAAAAGTGACTTAACACTGTTTTTCACCTTTACGACCCCTGCACCATTCCCCCGGTCCCGTGATCAAAATTCAGATGCTTGGCAACCGACTTGTATTTATGACGTCCCGTGGTCATGTGATTGCCTTTTGCGACCGTCTGACAAGCGGAGTCCATGGGGGAAGCCAGATTCACTTAACAGCCGGGTTACTAACTTAAGAACTGCAGCGATTCACTTAACAACCGTGGCAAGAAAGGTTGCAAAATGGGGCAAAGCTCACTTAACAAACGCCTCACTTAACAACATGCATTTTGGGCTCAACTGTGGTCGTTAAGTCGAGGACTCCCTGTACATTACACGTGGGATACTTGGAGGTTTTCTGACCCTTCAGCTGATGCTATCCTTGCGTAGGTTTAACCACATTAGTAGCACAGAGTAAGACTGCTTTTCAAAAGATACCACAGCCTGCCCCCTGCTTCGGGCTAGGAGGGACCCTGTCCTCACCATATGATGACTGCCACCATCCGCAAGATGGCTTCATTGAGGCAGTCAAAAAACTCCCGCAGGGGGTGTCCCTTTTGCTTCATGTTGCCAATCACCAGGCCGAAGCAGATGGAGAAGACAACGATGCCAAGGGCGTTCACCCCGTTGACAGAACCCGGGCCGGGCATGACCTCCTCAAAATTCAGCACTTCCGGGAAGCTCCCTAGAGCGTTAGTGACATTATTCCAGACTCCCAAAGCATTTTCAAGTGGCAGAAGAGGCAAACTGGCCATGGTGGCATTGTAGTTGAAACCGCTGCTGTTGGTATCCCGCTTTGGGTGCTGTGGCAACATGGCCGCAGGAGAAGTGTTGCTCACAACCGTTCTGTTGATAACCCGGACACTGTATTGAGTCTTATACTGGAAGGGAAGCAGAAGGAAGGATCAGCTCGGGCCCTTATGAGAGAAACAACATCCAAATGAGCAACTCTCACAAACCCTGCAGATGAGAAATGTCTTGAGTGGTGTACAGGTCAGTCAGCAAATCATCCGAAATGAACAAGGAAGGCTTGAGCCACAATTTCCACATTGACTAATTTACCTGGGAGCTGTAGTGTACATTGTTTATATGAAAGACAGTTTTGGTCATATGCTGAAATGTTGATTAATAATATCGTTTGTAGGGTTTGGTTTCAACTTTAGTTACAAAAGTTGAGGGCTACTCAGAGTTGGTCGCAATAAGCAAGTTCCCAATTAGGATCTTCAATTCTTCTTACCTGTCTAAAGCAGGCTTCTACAAGATTGGGTGGAAACATATTCCTACAAGAGACAAAAGCACAAGGATATCAATGACCCTTCAGCATCAGTTTGAAGATTTTAAGATGCTGGGTTGTGGTTAATCACCATACAAAGACCCCTGAACTGAAAGTCTCCTGATTGCTGAGTTAGGAAATTCACTAACAGGGATCACAGAGTTCAGTTGGACAAGTCTAGCAAAACAAAAACAAAAACCAACACCGCTCATTTCCTGCTGGAGAATATTAGTTGAGGAAGCCCTAGAAAGTTACTTCCAGGGTCACCTTGCCACTTCCATTTCACTGCAGCGTTAACAGATGAATGACAGCTTCCCCTCCTTCCAACCCATTTTATACTTTCCATAACCAGCCCAACATCAGAAAATTCTGCCCTGGCTTAAAAATTGCTCACCGGATGAGGTCCATGAAAGCATCCGTTGCATGGACCTGATCAATCTTGCCCTCCCCTTGGAGGCCTTTCTTGCTCCCTTTTCCTGGATGGATGATGAGGACCATAAAGATTCCAATGAAGACGGCAATGATGGTTGTCATCATATAGTAAATGACAGCACGCAGCCCCATCTTGCCTGAGGCACTGCTGTCCAAGGCTGCCATGCCTGAGAAGGGAGGGAAGGTCATAATTCAGCAATGGAAGGTCACAAGGGACCTTATTCCCAGCCATCTCCAGAATTGCCTTGGAAATCGGATGCTTCATCAGGTGGACTGCATGATCTAACTCAAGGCTGAATTTTTATACTTATACTCTAGTCCTGACTAGAGATGGGAACGCCTGGAAGAAACCCGGAAAAATTGAGTTGGGGGGGAGGGGGAGAGAACAGTTTTTTTTCTGTTTTTTTTTTCCAAAGCCATTTAGAAAAAAACAGGAGGGCATGTTTTTTTCCCAATTTTTCTGGGATTTTTCCAGGCCTTCCCATCTCTAGTCCTGACACGATCTGTTTGGTAGAAAGATGGAAACTAGAGAAGGCACCTTAGCTAATCCCAAAGGTGGTTTTTTAAAGAGGCAACTGGACTTTGCTTTTTTCTTTGAAGACATTGCGCTTCTCGCCTAAGAAGCTTCTTCAACTGCCTCTTGAAAAAGCACCTTTGGGACAACCATGACCTGGATGGCTGAGAATCTCTGTAGACATGTACCTTAGCTAGTTTTGCACCCTGAACACACCCAAAGAAAAGAAACGGACAGTTTGTAATCCCAAAGGGATAAAATTGCAACCAGAAAAGAGAGGGCTTATCTAAAAGAGGCAGATCAGAACCGTAGTTCAATGGTCATTGAGTCTTCCCCTTCTAGGTGCTCTGGGAACCATTCATCCCTGTGGCTTCTCCCAAAACCAAGCACCTGTATGAAGCACCTCTGAAAAAAATGGTCCCTACCCCCGTTGTAGCACCAAATTGCCAGAAGCTGCGCAGCACTTTGCTGATCTGATTGGACTTTAAGACAAAGCTACTCATTTCACCTGTGATAAGGCTAGAGACGATTAGTGGAAGAACCAACATCTGCAGCATTCGCATCAACAGCTCCCCAGGAAAGGAGAAGTATTTGATCTGGCGATAGGTCATCCGATATGGCCGCAGCGCGAGGGCCAGAGTAATCCCTGGGAGACATGAAGCCGAGAAGGAAAAATGTTACAATTCCACTCCTGACAAAAGAACAGGGCTTTTGTTCAGTTGTCTTCAATGTTATTTATCTGTATTGATACCCCACCTTTTGTCCAGGTGTTCAAGTCTGTGGGCTCAGTCTGGTCCACCAGACCTTGAGACCCAGCATATGGAGGCTTCATTAGGGATGCCTTCCCAAAGCAAGGTTGCTTTCCCACTGCTACTGTCTGTCTCAGTTTGTGTTTACTGACATTCTAGGCCAATGTTTCTTGATCTTGGCTACTTGAAGGTGCGTGGACTTCAACTCCTAGAATTCCCCAACCTGTCTAACATGCTTATTAACCACATGGAGCTCAGACGGAAAATGCTTCTTATCATCCCATCAGCAGTGGTGGGATTCAACACTTTTTACTACTGGTTCTGTGGGCGTGGCATGGCTTGGTGGGTGTGACAGGGAAAGGGAAGGATAATGCAAAATCCCCAATCCCTCTCCAGTTCTAGGGGAAGGATATACTGCAAAATCCCATTCCCTCCCCACCCCACTAACCTGCTTTCCAGCTCCGTTCTCCTGTGCAGGGCGACAAAAGAAGAGCCAGCCGATCAGCTGGGACTCAATGGGAGGCAGAGAATAGATGGGGTCGGGGCCAGTCAGAGGTGGGATTTGCTGGTTCTCTGAACTACTCAAAATTTCCACTACCGGTTCTCCAGAACTGGTCAGAACCTGCTGAATACCACCTCTGCCCATCAGTAAATAAATGGAACTGAAGATGGATATTTCCCTGTTTATCACTTTTGGTTGTAGGAATGGCCTCAACAAATATCAAATATTACTCAGTCTTATTATGAGTTCTTTAATGGAAACCCCGTCCCCCAAATTTATAGGAAAAGCGTCTCTATTATGAAAAATCCCAGTCACCCACCAATCCTTCTTAAAAGTTGTGCCAAAGCAGATTAAAAAAAGCAGCACACAATAGCATGGCCCTGAATTCAGTGATTTGTTTAACCATGAATGCCAAATAAATCAGAGTGGTTGGATTTGCACGATTTACTGCACAAGCCAAACAGACTACGTTAATATATGACCCAGGCCGCCAGGGACTTTGCAATTCCAGCAATCTTGTCTGCAAACAATCCAAAACATGCATGTAAACTGGGTTTACCCTCCCCCTTTGGGGAAATAACTCATTTCCAATTAAAGTGGAACTGCACATTCCCAATGTATCTGGAATGCATGAGATTTGGGATGCCTGAACTACATTCTTGTCCACACTTCACAATTAATTCCACATCCTCTCAGTCGCAATACTACTGTGTACAATGAACTGAATTTAATAAGAGTGAAGACTAGTATGTATAACACTTTATATCACATATGAGAGAAAGAAGAAGGAAGGAAGGAAGGAAGGAGAAAAAGAAACAGTTCACTTCCAGCTGCTTTTACTTTAAGAGCTTTCCTTTATTTTGTTTTAAATTAGAAATCTGAAAGAACAATTGTTGGCCTGGTTTCAATCAACATTCCATCCACGTCAAACTGAACTGACTCATGACTATTTAATTTACTTAGTTTCCTGGGGTTCTTTCTTTTATGTTTTTGGAAAACAGGTGGCTTTTCCCCAAATGTGTGCTGTTAAATCAACTTCCAAACCTCCACAGGATTGTGTTAGTACACGTTAAGGGTATGACAGACCCTAATTTGCACAGGAAAAAAAAAAGGAAGCTGAACAGCCTACGGGGTAAATCCCAGTTTTGCACCTCCTACTGTAGTTCCTCAGCTTCAATACAACTGGCTATAACTCAATACAAGTTGGAAACAAAAGCAAACTACCAACCAATCTTGGAGCCAGATCCTGTTGTAGGAGATAATCACTTATCTAAACTGTCAGATGTCAGCCCAGCGCCAACCACCAAGTCCACAAGGGAAGGATCTGTCTAGCTGGTATGAAAACAGTGACAACAATTTTCCTGGAGCACTTACCTTTTAACAAATTCTCATTAACATTCCCAATTACAGGAGACAATCACTCACGTAAGATGTCAGATGCCAACCTAGCAAAGATACCAACCCAGCAAAGGCAGGGATCAGAGGTTATGAAAATGGTGGAAACACCTCAAGAGAAGGGCTTGACTTTGAATGACCATTCATTAACACAACAAGGATGCTTTTCAACAGCAAGAGTTTGTAGATCTTTTAATTTCAGTTCCCAAACCAGCAAAGAATGGCAAAAATTCAGCCCATAACATATCAAATAACAAGAAAAAAATAAACCTGTATCAGATCATGCACAAAATATACTTAGCATTGAGCATAACCTACCTCCAGGTCATAAGGATGTATTGACATGGGACACTTACACCTCCAAGCTATTCTCTATAGAACCTCATCAGCATCTCAAGGAATTCCTGCTATGCTTTGCCATTATTCACAACAAAAGTGATTTGCATGTCACCTTATAAAGAAACCCTGCCCCAAAACTCCTGTTCAGGTTTCTGCACCACAAGAAACATTTTCTCTTCTGAAAAAGAACTCTAAAGAATTATTATGGAAAATGACAAGAGGTTTTCCAATGAGGGACAAATGCCTTCCAATTCCCTCCAAATGTTTTGGAACCGTCAGAAAAATAAGATCAGGTCTTCTCAATCATGGCAACTTTAAATCCTGTGGACTTCACCTCCCTGAATTTCTCAGCCAGTACGCCAGCTGAAGAATTCTGGAAGATGAAATCCATGCAGCTTGAAGTTACTAAAGTTGAGAAACGCTGAATTAGACTGAGTAAATAAATAAGAGGGTTGTGAAGGGACCTGAAAGCAAAACTGAGAGGGAGAAGAAATGAAAGTTAGAAAAACAGTATCTCACAGGAGAGGATCCAGCTGGCAATTAAAAAAAAAACACCTTTCTGTTCCTCTTGACTGATACAAAAACTCTATCTTTTAAGCAGCTACTATTCTCTCCCATCTTGTTAGACTTAGGAAATGCACCAGTTCAAAAAAGATGGTTCACTTTGCAATGTCCAGCCTAGCTTACTTCATTTACTGTACTGTGTTTTTTTAAGTTTTTCTAAAATGGAGGTCTTCAAACTTGACAGCTTTAAGACTTGTGGAGTTCAAGTCCTAGAATTCTTCCTCCAGCTCAGGAATTCTGGGAGTTGAAATCCACAAGTCTTAAACTTGCCAAGTTTGAGGACCCTTGTTCTAAAACATAGTTTGAATTTTTAAAAATCAGTGAAAACACCTTGAAAGCAGGAAGTTGATACTTCTCAATTAAAGGTGGGATGAGTTACAATTTCCCCTGGACCCTCTGCCCAGGCACAGAGACGCACAGTTCAATGGCTCAAGATCCCTCCACGCCCTCCCTGGCCTTCCCATGCCTTGATCCCTTAAAGGCCCCTTTTCTCCATACCCAGCAGGACAGCCAAGATGGTGAGTAGCACAAAAGCATTTCTCTGGAAGAAGCCCTTGACACTCTCTCGAGTGATGTTGTACATTTGCTTCCTGGCATGTGCTGCCCGCTTCTCCAGGGCCTGGCGGAAACGATGCACCCGGCTCCCCGATTCAAGCTGCTTAGATGTCTCCTCATTCAGGAAGAGGCTGTTGATGTGGGCCTGATGCTCACCCATAATGGGACTCAACATCCAGAGGGTCAGAAGCCCCAAGAAGCTGTACAGGAAAAAGCAGAAAGAGGATTTAAGAGGCTGGGAAATTTGGCTCTTCCCCCACATAGCTGCTTCAGTCCTTGTGTACTGATTTAACTAGCCACTCTCTTGGAAGTCCCATTCAGTCATGGCAAGAAACTGTCAGCACATTTTTTAAAATCCACCTGTATACCTATGTTCCTGCATATGCAGGGGGGGGGGGGGGGGGGGGGGGGGAGAAAGAGAGGAAGGGAGAGGGGGGGAGAGGGAGGGAGAGAGAGAGAGGGAGAAAGAGGGAGAGAGGGGGAGGGAGAGAGGGGGGAGAGGGTGAGGGGGGGAGAGATAGAGGGAGAGAGGGAGAGGGAGAAAGAGGGAGAGAGGGGGAGAAAGAGAGGGAGAGACAGGGAGAGAGAGGGAGGGAGAGAGAGGGAGAGGGAGAAAGAGGGAGAGAGAGGGAGAGGGAGAAAGAGGGAGAGAGAGAGGGAGAGGGAGAAAGAGGGAGAGAGAGAGAGGGAGAGAGGGGGGAGAGAGAGAGGGAGAGGGAGAAAGAGAGAGAGGGAGAGAGGGGGGAGAGAGATAGAGGGAGAAAGAGGGAGAGGGAGAAAGAGAGGAAGAGGGAGAAAGAGAGGGAGAGACAGGGAGAGAGAGAGATGGAGAGAGAGAGGGAGAGGGAGAAAGAGGGAGAGAGAGAGAGGGAGAGAGGGGGGAGAGAGAGAGGGAGAGGGAGCAAGAGGGAGAGAGGGAGAGAGAGAGGGAGAGAGAGAGAGATGAATACAATAAGGAATCATAAAGTAGTAAGGGGACGGCCAGGCCATTAAGTAGTAGCCCCTACCCAATGCAGAATCCCAAATTAAAGCATCCCCAGGAAATGTCATTCAAGCCCTGCTCAAAGACATGCATGCAAGTGGTGCTCCCACCAAAGGTTCCTAACTAAGTTTCCTAAATTTCAACCAGAATCTGCTCTTCTGCAGTTTCAGAGCATTAATCTTGTGCCCTACAAAACAATAGACTCCTTCTTCTGGATGGCTTATTTTCAGAAGTTGTGGGCACTCCACCAACTGGAGACTTTTAAGAAGATACTGGACAGCCACTTGTCTGGAATGGTATAGGGTCTCCCACTTGAGCAGGGTGGGGTAGACTAGAAAACTTTCGGGGTCCCTTCCAACTCTGTTATTCTGTTAGGTCACACAACCCACTGGAATTGATTCCAACTGGCAACAGTTCTCTTTTCCTAACTCATGAATCTGAGAATATTCACTGCTATTTTCTCTTCTCAGAGAAAACATCTCTTCTCAGATATCATATCATCTCAGAGAGCAAGTTTGTAGTGGTTAAGTCACCAGGCTAAAAACAAGAGACCATGGGTTCTAACCCTGCCTTAGCCATGAAAGCAAGCCAGGTGAGTGATATTGAGCCAGTCACCCTCTCTCAGCCCAACTCACCTCAAGGGTGGTGGTTGTGGGTAAAATAGGAGAAGGACGAGTGTGTGATATGGTTGCCACCTTGAGTTATTTGTAAAAATAATGAAGGTGGAATATAAACAAACTAATAATATTTTGGCCAGAAAATACTACTATTGCCTCAGCAGTCAACACACATTTCCCACTGACCCCCAGAGGTCTAGAACCAAGGAGATGTATGTTTGGATAGATAGAAGGATACAGATGGGACTCCTCGCCATGCATACAGATCCAGAATGGCCCAAAGGCTCTCCTTGAGTACAGGACATCTGAACATGATCCTGATCAAGGGCATTGCTGACCAGAAAAGGGTTAGCCTATATGACTTCCCACTCCTTACACCACAGGTCTTCAAACTCGACAACTTTAAGACTTGTGGACTTCAACTCCCAGAATTCCTCTTCCAGTCATGTTAGCTCAGGAATTCTGGGAGTTGAGGTCCACAAGTCTTAAAGTTGTCGAGTTTGAAGACCCTTGCCTTGCACATATTATTTCATGCCAAAGGATTGTAAGAACCCCTCTTGAGTAAATCAACTTAAAATCAAATCATTTCACTTCAATGAATCTGCCTCTCTCTTGATCTACCTACGCTCAATGCTATTTACTCTGACTTCGATAAATGCCCCCAAAATCCTTCCCATTACTGTTTCACCGGAGCTGCTAGGATTCATTGGGACCTTCTGCAAAACAGCAGAGCAATAGGGCTTTTCCAACTTAGCAGGAATATGCAATATTCTCGAACCACATTAGTTGCCTATCTTATCCCACAGGTGGTACCAAATACCTCTTGGCCACAACTGAGCATCAAAAGGCAGGTTAGGACTGGAATGTCAGCCATCTGGCTTTTTCCCACTCCTGGTTGCCTGCCAGGTCCTTGAGCATTTGGCTAATTATCCAAGAGCTCCCCACCTCCCTGAAACACTAAAGAATGACAATCAGGACATTTGGGGATGCCAGTGGTGGGGGCGGGGCACACCAAGTTTTGGAGGTTACAATACCAGAAAAAAGAGAACGTCAGGATCTTGAAATAATCCTTTCCTGCCAGAAATCCTAGGTGACACCCAGATTCCTCCATCTTCCAGCTATTGCCAACCTTTCTGGCTGTCTGGGTTGATGGCCTCATCTCAAGGCATCAACAATGAATTGACTACCTACCTACCAACCTAGCGAGCTAGCTATAAACCAACCAACTCACCAACAAAAAGGTCTCTGACTGATCAATTACCTGCTTTCTTTTCAATTTATTGCATATCGATTAGATTCCCAGATCACACAAAGCTACAGTTTATTCAGTCTTGATTTAATAAATAAATCCAATTATTTGGATTCATACAACAGATTAAACTTTCAAACATGGTTTATAAATACAATAACTCTGCAACCTTTTATTATGAAGGGCAGTCCTTCATTTCAGAAAGCTGTCCTTTAGATTTATTTATTTTTCAAAAACTCAACATTTATTTTTTGAAAAGTTTTTCTCGGTTTTGCTACTGAATTTTCTTTTATGAAACAAAACAATTACAATTCATGTTTATGAATGTCTTTCAGATCTGCTCCTTTTTCAGATTTGTCCTTTGTTTTTTCCCAAGGAAATACGATCACCATTTTTAGAAAGCACCACAAAGAAATCGCACAATATACTCAGCAATTGATCCACGTAATAAATTAAACGCCTTATGTAAAAAATCAGCATATACTTTTGCCTGAGGTCTCTATTTACATTCTTGCTTATATCCTTAGCAAATACATGTCCTGCGTGAGCCTAATGGATCCCAAAAACTATAATTAAAAAAACAGTAGTCGAATTCATGAAAGACATACAAATCTAATCAGCTTGAGCAAGACAGGGTGTTTCGAGTCCTCTCTTATGGACTGACTCAATTCTATGAACAATTTGTTCTTTAAAATAGACCACAACCAGGAAAAAGCAGAATTTCTCGTAGCAAAAGCACATTAATGGCTCAGTTAATGACCTAAGGATATAGGACAGACCGCAAGTCATCCTTTCTGCACCATTGAGGCTGCAGCTCCCAAATGTTTCTTAGCCATCTTAGCTTGGGACTTTTGTGAGTGGCAGTGCCAGCATACCTGGATAGTGCCTGGCTGGGGAAGGGCATCCTACTGCAGGTAGACACAAGAAACATGTAAGGGAGGGGAAAGCACATTATTCTCTATGGTCTTGCCTCTACAATCTTTCCCATTCACCTCTTGACATTTGTCAAATTATAGATTACTATAGACCTGTCCCCTTCTACTCATTTACTCTGGAAGTAAATAAAGCAAGGACCTTTATTCAAATACCAGATCTGTAAATAAATGCAGGTAAGTCTTCCCCCCCCCCTTGTTACTTTTTTATATTTTCTCTGATTCCTAGCATTGTTGTTTCATCCGAGTTCAGAAAGTTGGTCTCCCAAGTTAATCGCTCATTTCTTACTTACCTTTTGTAAAGGAGTCAAAGGCCCAATTTACAGAAGGGGAAAAGGGGGAACAGGTAAAGGAAAAGAGCAGAGAAACCGAGGGCATTCAAGGACCCATCAAAAGGCAGCTTCAGCCAGCAAGGAGAGATGTCAAGAGTCCGGATATTAAAAAAAAAAACAGCCTGGAAAAATTTATGTTTGCCAACGGGTAAACAGTTCCACTCTCCAGGTTCATCCTGTCCCACCTTTAAAAAATACACTTCCGGAAATTGGTGAACTCATTCTTCACCATCAGCCAACACCCCCCCCACCCCGCCCCCCAGCTTCCCAACGGCAGATTCCCTTCCCACCTGGAGCAGCAGGAGAAGCTGGTGGCTTCCCCTGTGAGGCCGTCTTCCTGGGCTGGCAGTCAGTCGTCCTCCGTGTTCTTTCTTCCCTGTCTGGAAATCTTCTGGCAAAAGAGAGGAAAAAAGTGAAGTCAAGAGTATTCTGTTGGAAGGTACAGAGGAGGAGGAGGAGGAGGTGGAGGAGGAGGAGGAGACTTTAGTGGTTTGGGAGTTGGAGCATCTAGTCTCTTTCCGAAGGCAGCTCTCCAACCACATAAATGCACTAGGAGAGGGACGATGCGTTACAGCACAATGCTCATTCATTCAGGCGGAGAAAGGCGTCAATAAGTTGGAAAGGCTTTGGGATCAAACCAAAGACATAGTCAATACGGCATCCTGGGGGCCAAACCATGGTCTATGCTGGAGCTACCCTGTTTCTCCAACAATAGGAAATCCCAGCATGTTTTATAGGCATGAAATGAAATTAAGCCCCTCCCCCCAAATTAAGACCTATATTAAAACATGCGAAATGGGGGGGGAATGGTGGGGGGGGGGGGCTTGCCGTTAGGAAGTACTTTTGTTGCGCACCCGGATATGGTGCTGCCTGCGTTGACCCCGATACAAAGTGCCCCACCAACACCGAGGTCAACATCTAAGCCGTCGCTGCCTGCCTGCCTGAAGATGCAAGGGGGGGAATTAAGTCACCCCCGAAAAGACGGCCTAGCCATTTTTTCGGGGCTCAAAAAAAATATAAGACCCAGCCTTATTATATGAGAAAAACAGTAAAAATCAATAGTAGACAAACCTTGTCCAGATAAGATTCATTAGAAATTATTAGCTGATGATGCTTTTTCCTTAAGAACGCAAATTGAGAAGAAGGCCCTTGGTAAAGATACTTTGACCCTACTCTCTACAGGTAGTCCTTGACTTACAACCATTCAGTGACCCATCAAAGTTACAACAGCATTGAAAAAGTGACTTGTCCCCATTTTTCACGACCACAGCAGCATCCCCAGTCACATGATTAAAATTCAGACACACACACACACACACCGCAACTGGCATGTATTTATGATGGATGGTTGCAACATGATCACTTTTTGTGGACTTCTGACAAGCAAACAATAATGGGGTTGTTAAGATTCCCTTAACAACCATGATACTAACTTAATCACTGCAGTGATTCACTTAACAACTAGCAATAGCAATAGCACTTAGACATATATATCACTTCACAGTGCTTCACAGCCCTCTCTAAGCAGTTTTACAGAGTCAGCCTATTGCCCCCAACAATCTGGGTCCTCATTTTACCCACCTCGGAAGGATAGAAGGCTGAGTCAACTTGAGCCTGGTGGGATTTGAACTGCCAAATTGCAGGCAGATGACAGTCAGCAGAAGTGGCCTGCAGTACAGCACTCTAACCACTGCGCCACTTTTCTTTATGACAAGAAAAGTCATAAAAAGTGGCAAGATTTGCTTAATAACCATCTCACGTAGCAACTGGAATTTTGGCTTCAATGTGGTCATAAATAGAGGATTATCTGTATTTCCAAGGCAGCAACCTCTAAAAACAAGCATCCCATCTTGATGTCTTCATTGCAATAGCTCAGGGAAACTCATAGGTTTTCCTGGTTGGCTGTCCACATGTCGAGTGAATGCAGATAGAATGGTCATATAGCAATAGCACTTATAGTGCTCAATACTGCTTTCTAGCACACTCTAAGCGGTTTACAGAGTCAGCATATTGCCTCCAACAATCTGGGTCATCATTTTACCAACCTGGGAAGGATGGAAGTCTGAGTGAACCTTGAGCCAGTCAGGATCAAACTCCTAGCAGTGGGCAGAGTTAGCCTGATGCTCACCCATAGAGAGGTAGTCCTCAACTTATGGCATGATGGTTAGCAACCTTTCAAAGTTACAATAGAATCAAGAAAGGTACTTACAACCCAGATGTCTCAAAGTTGTGCTTTTTCCAAGAAACAAATGGACTTTCTTGCTTTTTTTTTTTGAAGATGTTTCAGTTCTCCACCAATGAACTTTTTTCAGCTCCAACTGGATAGTGGAGAATGGAAAGATTTATACACTGCTCAAAAAAATAAAGGGAACACAAAAATAAGACATCCTAGATCTGAATGAATGAAATATTCTTATGAAATACTTTGTTCATTACATAGTTGAATGTGCTGACAACAAAATCACACAAAAATTATCAATGGAAATCAAATTTAGCAACCCATGGAGGTCTGGATTTGGAGTTACACTCAAAATTAAAGTGGAAAAAAACACTACAGGCTGATCCAACTTTGATGTAATGTCCTTAAAACAAGTCAAAATGTGGCTCAGTAGTGTATGTGGCCTCCACGTGCCTGTATGACCTCCCTACAATGCCTGGACATGCTCCTGATGAGGTGGCTGATGCTCTCCTGAGGGATCTCCTCCCACACCTGGACAAAAAGCATCCCCCAACTCCTGGACAGTCTGTGGTGCAAGGTGGTGTTGGTGGATGGAGTGAGGCATGATGTCCCAGATGTGCTCAATTGGATTCAGGCCTGGGGAACGGGTGAGCCAGTCCATAGCATCAATGCCTTCATCTTGCAGGAACTGCTGACACACTCCAGCCACATGAGGTCTAGCATTGTCTTGCCTTAGGAGGAACCCAGGGCCAACCGCACCAGCATATGGTCTCACAAGGGGTCTGAGGATCTCATCTCGGTACCTAATGGCAGTCAGGCTACCTCTGGCGAGCACATGGAGGGCTGTGCGGCCTCCTAAAGAAATGCCACTCCACACCATTACTGACCCACTGCCAAATCGGTCATGCTGGGGGATGTTGCAGGCAGCAGAACGTTCTCCACGGCGTCTCCAGACCCTGTCACATGTGCTCAATGTGAACCTGCTTTCATCTGTGAAGAGCACAGGGCACCAGTGGGGAATTTGCCAATCTTGGTGTTCTCTGGCAAATGCCAAACGTCCTGCACGGTGTTGGGCTGTAAGCACAACCCCCACCTGTGGACGTTGGGCCTTCATACCACCCTCATGGAGTCTGTTTCTGACTTTTTGAGTAGCCACATGCACATTTGTGGCCCATTGGAGGTCATTTTGCAGGGCTCTGGCAGTGCTCCTCCTGTCCCTCCTTGCACAAAGGCGGAGGTAGCGGTCCTGATGCTGGGTTGTTGCCCTCCTATGATCTCCTCCACATCTCCTGATGTACTGGTCTGTCTACTGGTAGCGCCTCCATGCTCTGGACACTACGCTGACAGACACAGCAAACCTTCTTGCCACAGCTCGCATTGATATGCCATCTGGATGAGCTGCACTACCTGAGCCACTTGTGTGGGTTGTAGACTCTGTCTCATGCTACCACTGATGGGAAGCAGTGAAAGCACCACCAGCATTCAAAAGTGACAAAACCATCAGCCAGAAAGCATAGGACCTGAGAAGTGGTCTGTGGTCACCACCTGCAGAACCATTCCTTTATTGGGGATGTCTTGCTAACTGCCTATGCTTTCCACTTGTTGTCTATTCCATTTGCACAACAGCAAGTGAAATTGATTGTCAATCAGTGTTGCTACCTAAGTGGACAGTTTGATTTCACAGAAGTGTGATTGACCTGGAATTACATTGTGTTGTTTAAGTGTTCCCTTTATTTTTTTGAGCAGTGTATTCCTTGCAGACAACTGGTCATCTGCATTCTTTTAGAGAGTCATTGAGGCCACTTGGAGGCTTATCTGTGATCTCAGGGTCACTTGAGTAATGCAAATGGGTGTGGAGCCTTCTTGCAAATGTTGACTTTGTTGTAGGCTGGAAATAGATGGTCATATCTCTCCCCCTCTTTTGAGGGAGGACTATTCAATTTTGATGTAGACGGCCTCTTTGACCGCTTTTTCAAGAAGCTTCTTGGATGAGAAGCGAAACATCTTCAAAGAAAAACAAGAAAGTCCAGTTGCCTCCTGAAAAAAGCACCTTTGGGACAACCATGACCTGGGTGAGACTGAAACTCTTCCATAGACATTTACAACCCAGATTCAAAGTTCAAATGGCTGGATTCTCCCCTCCACCAGAGTCATTTTTTTGCATTTGGGGTACTTGGTAACCAACCACATTTGCTGACCACAATAAATTGTGACCACAATTTATTATCGTTTCATGCCCATTTCAGACAATGAGTTCAATTCATTTGTTCACATGTTCACTTAGCCATATAGTCAGCAACGACTAATGGAGTAAAATCCTCAGGGACTCCTTTACCTTTTACTTTATATGTTCACTTAACAACAGTCCTCCAAAAGGTCATACAATCGGCCATGGTCACATGATGACCCACTTAACAACTGGCATGACTTATGATCTGTCCAGATTTTTGCAGCATTAATTCAGCACCAGAAAAATAAACACAGATGACTGATGCTTCACTTAACATCTTTATAAACATAATAAGTAAATTATACAAACCAGTTGTAGATTTCTCCAACATCGAGCAAACTCAAACAGAAACAAGTTGCAAGCAACTTACAGGGGCATAGAAACAGACATCAGTTTCACTTTAGTTTAGCAAGCAAGCAGAGGAGAGAAGCAGTTTCATTTTCAATAGACAGACTCAGAGCTCAATTTAGCTGCAAAGTTGCAGAGCTTAATATAGAGCCACACCTAGGCTACTTCTAGTTTCAGTTTCCAAACAGTCCTCATTGGCTGACTCAGTTGCTATGCCTATTCATTGGCTGACCTTGTTACCAAGCTCTATTCCAGTTCATGAATATACTCTGACATGAGCGTAATTCTGGGATCAATTACAGTTGTAAATTGAAGATTAGCTGCATATGGAAGTTCTATTTAATTCTCAGGGCATCTAGAGAGTTCCATTCCCCTGTTTTCTTTTCTTCTTTGGCCCCAAATGCCAAAGAATTTTAACAATTCCCTCCCGTTCACTCGGAGGCAGATTCAAGATTCACTCTATGTATCAAGTATACGTCCACCCACCAATTTCTGTCCCCATGGAAATGGGAAACCTTCCAATGTGATACAGCATCAGGTTGCTGGAGCTGAAGACCAGATGCTACCACCCACCAGTCCCACCATGTATCTTCTACGACGATGCCACCACCGTTCCTATGTGTTGCAGACAGCA